AGGAAGGATTGACTAGGTGCCCATGTTCACCTATCAGTAATTGGGCTGCTGGTCGTTAGCGCTGGGCGGGTCGAGTTCCATTGGAACCTAGAAAGGTAAAGCTTGGCATGACCAAAGGGAAAACAAAGGTGTTAGCCTGCTAACAAATGTCAGAAGTTGGGTTTGACCCAATCCCTTACCGGTGTTTGGCGGGCCTGTCCCCCTTAGCCTGTGTTTGATTGGCCAATCACCTCACCCCCTTTCGCATTGGACTCCTTTACATGTGTATTTACCGAAAAATGTATTTGGTGTATTTGCTACTTTTCTGGTCAAAAAAGGTGTCCATCAGCTGGACATCCTGTCAAGCAGACACCCCTGTCAAGCAGACACCCCTGTCAAGCAGACACCCCTGTCAAGCAGACACCCCTGTCAAGCAGACACCCCTGTCAAGCAGACACCCCTGTCAAGCAGACAACCCTGTCAAGCAGACACCCTGTCAAGCAGACACCCTGTCAATTATATTATGTTATTTTATTATTATTATATATGCTATACAATGCAAGCGTTATTATATATCTATTATATATTCTATATATCAAACCTATACAAGCGTCATTATATATCCTATACAATGTATCCTACGCCACAATGTGTCCTATCAGAGTCTGCCACCACCTACTTTATTTATTTATTTTTATTTATGCATATACAAGAAGGTACATTGGGAATGTGAGGATACATAATCTGGTAATTACAGTCGTTTCGGGCAGGTAAATACTTCGTATATCTTCGTAATACTTCGTATATGTTCGTAATACTTCGTATATCTTCGTAATACTTCGTATATCTTCGTAATACTTCGTATATCTTCGTAATACTTCGTATATAGATACTTCGATATCACCTTAAGATTGCTTTGGAACAGCCGAGAGAGATGGAGCGAAAAATACAAAAGAATATATGAAATATTTTGAAAGAGCAAAGGAGGAAGTTGAGCATCAGTAAAGAGTTACAATCACTAAACGATAAGGGACGGCCTATAAATTATTACATTTGCAACAAGTAAAGTCAGGAAATCCTGTTAATTACATCATATACAACAAATAAAGTCAGGAAATCGTGTAAATTACATCATATACAACAAATAAAGTCAGGAAATCGTGTAAATTACATCATATACAACAAATAAAGTCAGGAAATCGTGTAAATTACATCATATACAACAAATAAAGTCAGGAAATCCTGTAAATTACATCATATACAACAAATAAAGTCAGGAAATCCTGTAAATTCTGGGAATGGTCGGGTCAGACACCGCACCTGTGGACCAGGATTGAGACAGTCACTTGCTGCGTTCTCTGAGGTTAAATTTAGTGTCTGGGATTGAAGGGATACCAAAGTTGAAAGGGACGTGATGGCTGGTGTTAGCGAGGGATGAGGTGGATTGTTGTGTGTGGGTGTGTGTGGGTGTGTGCTTGGGTTCGAGTTTGTACTCACCTATTTGTGCTTGCGGGGGTTGAGCTTTGGCTCTTTGGTCCCGCCTCTCAACTGTCAATCAACTGGTGTACAGATTCCTGAGCCTATTGGGCTCTATCATATCTACACTTGAAACTGTGTATGGAGTCAGCCTCCACCACATCACTTCCTAGTGCATTCCATTTATTAACTACTCTGACACTGAAAAAATTCTTTCTAACGTCTCTGTGCCTCATCTGGGTACTCAGTTTCCATCTGTGTCCTTCTTGTGTGTGTGTGTGTGTGTGTGTGTGTGTGTGTGTGTGTGTGTGTGTGTGTGTGTGTGTGTGTGTGTGTGTGTGACTTTCTGTAACTGAGTCTCCTTCCTTTGGTTCAACTGTCAGTCAACTGGTGCACAGATTAGCTCTGTCACATCTACATTAAAGATTGAATTGAGTCTGCCTCCACCACATCACTTCATAGTGCATTGCATTTGATATCTTTTCCGGCATTGGATATCTTTTCCGGCATTTGATATCTTTTCCGGCATTTGATATCTTTTCCGGCATTTGATATCTTTTCCGGCATTTGATATCTTTTCCGGCATTTGATATCTTTTCCGGCATTGTATAACTGAATTCTACTGTATGTGGCTGATCTCAGTATTCAGTTTCCTCTTTTGTCCCTTTGTTCGTGTAACATCCGAGCTAGAGAGCAGACTACGGGCTCGCCATAGCCCGTGCTACTTGGAACTTTTTGTCCCAGGTAGCGAATCTTTAACAACAACAACTAGAGAGTAGAATTTGGTACAATCCACTGCATAGAGTATGTAACAACAAAATGAAACCAAACCTAAATATTCCTAGTTATAATATAGTACATATATGTACTATTTTAGGCCTCAAATAGCGGATATTAGGTCTATGCACCAAGAAATCACAGTTTACACATTTTACTGTTGAGTTAAACAGAGGCTACAGTTAAGGATTTGCGCCCAGTAAATCCTCCTCCCCGTCCAGGATACGAACCCATGACAAAGCGCTCGCGGAACGCCAGGCGAGTGTCTTACCACTGCACCACGGAGACTGGAATTCCAGTTATCGATAATGAGAACTATTTAACCAGGAGAATCAAACTAGGCACCAAAAAGGGTGTTAATGGGTATGGAAAGTTGGAAGTTAAAGGTGTTTAATACTTCTTTCAGTCACATGAGGTCAGTGTGAGGAAGTTGGTGAGTAGAAGTGTCAGAGAAAGAGAATGTTGGTGGAGAATGAGGGGGTGAGGAGAGTGTGGTAGAATGACGTGTGATGAGGTGTGATGAGTGAATGTGGTGGGAAAGGAACTATCAGGGGGGAAAGCGCCAAGCCATTACGACTATATAGCCCTGGGAAGGAATCAGAATTAGGATTTGGACGGGGGGGTGGGGAAGGAATGGTGCCCAACCACTTATGGACGTTCGGGGATTGAACGCCGACCTGCACGAATCGAATACGATTGAAGAATTACTGGGCGAAGAACCGAAACAAACACTTGTCATATATAGCAATACTTACGAGACATGTTTCACACGTATTCAGAGATGGTTCTGTCCAAGTTACGGCTTGGGATGACTTACTGTTAACTTCCACTTACATTTCCTCACGAGACTAAGGTAATTGGAAGCAATATATTACACTGCGGCGAGCCCCTTGGAAAGTTATTGACATACGGAATTAATGGTATACATGAATTTCCTTGTAATGATTATATTCACCGATAATATTAAAGGGGCTTCTTACATATGGGCCTCGTAGCCTGGTGGATAGCGCGCAGGACTTGTAATTCTGCGGCGCGGGTTCGATTCCCGCACGAGGCAGAAACAAATGGGCCAAGTTTCTTTCACCCTATGCCCCTGTTACATAGCAGTAAATAGGTACCTGGGTGTTAGTCAGCTGTCACGGGCTGCTTCCTGGGGGTGGAGGCCTGGTCGAGGACCGGGCCGCGGGGACACTAAAGCCCCGAAATCATCTCAAGATAATCTCAAGATAACACCCCATCACAACGCCTGTCTGTGTAACTCCCCAGAGAGCAGCATAAATCTACACTCACTGGAAACTGATGTCTTACCACCACAGATGTGGGAGGACTTAGAGATTGGTGTGAGTGAGAGAGAGAGAGAGCAGAAGAGAAATGCTTGAGAGGAAACAAGGGCGTGAAGGTTGTCTATCTCTGTAAGAGAGCTTAAGAGAGCTATAAAACAAGGGAAGACGACATTTCGGTCCGTCTTGAACCATTCTCAAGTCGATTGTCACAAATCGACTTGAGAATGGTCCAGGACGGATCGAAACGTCGTCGTCCCCTCACCTTCTAGTGTGTGGTCTCGTCAACATACTTCAGCCACGTTATTGTGACTCCTCGTCTACACCTGTAAAAAGAACATATCTATTTGTTCAAGGTTTGGGGGCTAGATGCATGGATTAGCCTCGCTAAACTTTGCAGGGTGATTTGTAAAGGGAAGGCAAGTCATAGGTCAACCCCCTTCCCATGCAACCCATGCTGTTCCTTAAGTAGGACTGGCTCCTATTGCAATAACCAATCACTCCTATAAAGTCTGAAATAGGGGTTCGATTGTCCATAGAGTGTATCATCAAATTTTTTCATGTTATCGACGTTGAATTAACGTTGCGTCAACGTTAACAACGACACTTCGAACATTTTTTGCCCATAGGAAGAGAGAGAAAAGAAGTGATAAAGAGACAGAGATAGGTAGAGAATGAGGGATGAAGAATGAGAGACAAAAAAAACTGGATGAAGGGAGAATGAGAGAGAGGAAGAATGGGAGACAGGAAGAATGGAAGACAGGAAGAATGAGAGAGAAGGAAGGATAGAACCAGACAATCAAGCAACAAACAGATCAACTCTAGGAACCAATTTATTTACAAAAAAAGCGTTTGTTTATCAGAGGTTCGAAACCAGACGCTAATGGCAAGTCTCACGCAACACTGCCTAGCGATTGTGGACTTACGTAGAGTCTCGTAGGGTGGTTGACATTGTCCCCTTTACCACCCTTGACAAGAAAACTTTATAGGAATATAGGTTTATATATAATATATATATTATATATATCTTTATCCACCTTTATCCACTGGCGTTTCCTGACCTTTATCTACCAACTGATAAGCCTTCAACTTCCTGGGTCTAAGAAGATGAGGTGTCATATCTGCAGCGTTACTATATATAAAATAAATTCAAGAATTATGTAAGAAATTCATTTCACAAAAGAAATAATTCGAAACTCACACAACGTTCGTTAAATCCGGATTCATGGCTGCGTTTGCGTAGATAAGAAACTATAAGAAATAAAGAATTAAATATATGTCATAAATATAAGTAAAGCAAATATTAAATAAGACCACGTTTCGGTCCGTCCTGGACCATTCTCAAGTCGACAATCGACTTGAGAATGGTCCAGGACGGACCGAAACGTCGTCGTCCCTTCAATTTCTAGTGTGTGGTCTGGTCAACATACTTCAGCCACGTTATTGTGACTCATCGTCTGCATTAAATAAGACGTTCTGAAGCGGGAAATGACGGAAATAATGACAGACAAAGAACAGCAGTTCAGCTGTGCAACTGTGCAGCTGTGCAACTGTGCAGCTGTGCAACTGTGCAGCTGTGCAACTGTGCAGCTGTGCAACTGTGCAGCTGTGCAACTGTGCAACTGCGCAGCTATGCAACTGTGCAACTGTGCAACTGTGCAACTGTGCAGCTGTGCAACTGTGCAACTGTGCAGCTATGCAACTGTGCAACTGTGCAACTGTGCAGCTATGCAACTGTGCAACTGTGCAACTGTGCAGCTGTGCAACTGTGCAGCTGTGCAACTGTGCAGCTGTGCAACTGTGCAGCTGTGCAACTGTGCAGCTGTGCAACTGTGCAGCTGTGCAACTGTGCAACTGCGCAGCTATGCAACTGTGCAACTGTGCAACTGTGCAACTGTGCAGCTGTGCAACTGTGCAACTGTGCAGCTATGCAACTGTGCAACTGTGCAACTGTGCAGCTATGCAACTGTGCAACTGTGCAACTGTGCAGCTGTGCAACTGTGCAGCTGTGCAACTGTGCAACTGTGCAATCTTGCAAGACAGGTCAATATTGAACGTTCATTTGGGGTCAACACGCAAGGAGCAGAGAGTGGTGGTGTCGGCGTGGAGAGGTGTCCTGAAGGTGCTGGGGTTTGGGATGGGCGTGGAAGGGAAGGGAAAGAGGAGAAATGGGCTTGAGAAAGAGGGCAGAAATAGGCTTGAGAAAGGGGGCAGAAGTGGGCTTGAGGAATGGGCAGAAATGGGCTTGAGAAAGAGGGCAGAAATAGGCTTGAGAAAGGAGCAGAAGTGGGCTTGAGGAATGGGCAGAAATGGGCTTGAGAAAGGGGCAGAAATGGCCTTGAGGAATGGGCAGAAAGGGGCAGAAATGGGCTTGAGGAAGGGACAGAAATGGGCTTGAGGAATGGGCAGAAATGGGCTTGAGGAATGGGCAGAAATGGGCTTGAGAAAGGGGCAGAAATGGGCTTGAGAAAGGGGCAGAAATGGGCTTGAGAAAGGGGCAGAAATGGGCTTTAGGAAGGAGCAAAAATGGGCTTGAGAAAGGGGCAGAAATGGGCTTGAGGAAGGGGCAGAAATGGGCTTGAGGAAGGGCCAGAAATAGGCTTGAGAAAGGGGCAGAAATGGGCTTGAGAAAGGGGCAGAAATGGGCTTGAGGAATGGGCAGAAAGGGGCAGAAATGGGCTTGAGGAAGGAGCAAAAAATGGGCTTGAGAAAGGGGCAGAAGTGGGCTTGAGGAAGGAGCAAAAATGGACTTGAGAAAGGGGCAAAAATGGACTTGAGAAAGGGGCAAAAATGGACTTGAGAAAGGGGCAAAAATGGACTTGAGAAAGGGGCAAAAATGGACTTGAGAAAGGGGCAGAAAAGTCCTTAGGTAAAGTGTCTTATGTTAGTAACGACTCAGGCAGGTATGAAGTTCAAGTTGATTTAAGAATGTAAAATAAGAATGATTGGCTACAGAAGGATTGCTAAAGAACAGTAAGAATGGGGGATTATTCTCTATTCTCTGTTGTCGTTATTAGCGAAGGGGGGGGGAGAGGGAGAGAGAGAGGGAGAGGGAGAGGGAGAGGGAGAGAGGGAAGGAGAGGGAGAGGGAGGGAGAGGGAGAGGGAGAGGTCGGTGCGTGCGAGACTAAATTACACTCTCAGTAACTCGTTAGGAAGGAGCGACACACACACTGGATTACGGCAGGCGGTATTCTGAATGATATTTAAATTGTGTTTCCTCGTCTCTTCTCCGGATGTAATTTAAATTTACGACTTAACAGGTTTTAGGTTATGCACATTAGTGTGTGGGGGGACAGTTAGACGTAGATTGTCCAAGGCATTCGTTATTGTGGAATATATTTTATTTATGACATATATATATATATATATATATATATATATATATATATATATATATATATATATATATATATATATATATATATGCAAACAAGCCTGAATGGTCCCCAGGACTATATACAACTGAAAACTCACACCCCAGAAGTGACTCGAACCCATACTGCCAGGAGCAACGCAACTGGTATGTACAGGGACGCCTTAATCCGCTTGACCATCACGACCGGACAAAAGGAAGTGATAGCCGAACATTGCATTTGTGTTCCTCACGTGTGCCCCAAAGAATGAGGTGATTTGATAAAATGCTATGCCCAAGATTACCATCCGAGTGCCGGCGGGGAAGTGGTTCAAATAGCTTCGGCTATCACTTCCTTATGTCCGGTCGTGATGGTCAAGCGGACTAAGGCGTCCCTGTACATACCAGTTGCGTTGCTCCTGGCAGTATGGGTTCGAGTCACTTCTGGGGTGTGAGTTTTCAGTTGTATATAGTCCTGGGGACCATTCAGGCTTGTTCGCATTTGTGTTCTTCACGTGTGCCCCAAAGAATGAGGTGATTTGATAAAATGCTATGCCCAAGATAATTCTATGCCCTAACCTATCTAATTCCTAAATAAATAATCCAGGACTTAACATAGGCCAAATTTATCATATATATACTAAATTTAATAAAATTTCACTTTTCGTGATTTGCCCTCTTTTTCAGGCACTCATTGAAATTAATAGGCTTAAACGTTGACATGTTTTTTGAGTTCAACAATTTATATTTTGTACTTTCCTTCTATTGGTGTTATAATTTTTAGGTAACATATTGGAAGTACTCACCTATTTGTGCTTGCGGGGGTTGAGCTTTGGCTCTTTGGTCCCGCTTCTCAACTGTCAATCAACTGGTGTACAGGTTCCTGAGCCTATTGGGCTCTATCATATCTACACTTGAAACTGTGTATGGAGTCAGCCTCCACCACATCACTGCCTAATGCATTCCATCTGTTAACTACTCTGACACTGAAAAAGTTCCTTCTAACGTCCCTGTGGCTCATGTGGGTACTCAGTTTCCACCTGAAGTGTGTATGTGTGTTATGCTATTGGTTGTTTGGTAACGAGGGTATCGTTAAGGTCGTCGCTAGCAACGGGTAATGGATATTTTTTGTCGTAATTGAGATAACGTGTCTGGCGGAATAATTACACTCGTTTAAAAAATTGTATTAGGGGATATTACAGTTGTTAGGGTAACTGGCTGTTAGAGAGGTTCGTAATGTTTCTACGTCTTCATGGGTAGTTACTCATTTATTCGCTTACTCTGTGTTTCAGTCTCTCTTTTTCTCTCTTTCACTCTCTCTTCTCTCTTTCATTCTCTCTTTAATCAAGAGCTTCAATCTTACCTCATTTCACCTAAAGCCTGTTCCTAAAGACTGCCGTTCTCTCTCTCTCTCTCTCTCTCTCTCTCTCTCTCTCTCTCTCTCTCTCTCTCTCTCTCTCTCTCTCTCTCTCTCTCTCTCTCTCTCTCTCTCTCTCTCTGTCTCTCTCTCTCTCTCTCTCTCTCTCTCTCTCTCTCTCTCTCTCTCTCTCTCTCTCTCTCTCTCTCTCTTCTCTCTCTCTCTCTCTCTCTCTCTCTCTCTCTCTCTCTCTCTCTCTCTCTCTCTCTCTCTCTCTCTCTCTCTCTCTCTCTCTCTCTTACCCTTACAGGGGGGATACAGGTATACAGGTGTTTAACATTATAGGCGGGTCGTATACAGGTGTCTTAAACAGGTGTAGTTAGGTCAGTTTCAGTCTCATCTTTCCTGTTGTACGACGTCTAATATTTCTCCTTGAGAATATTGCATGTGTCATGAGGAATTATTTGTGATATTCCTTTATCCTTTGCTTGAGTATTTTATTGATCGCCTCACGCATGCGTTCCTGCAGTTATCCTGACTCTTCCTTGACATGCAACACTTTCAATTATCCAGTCTTTCCTATCCTATCCCACATGTCTCCTGTCCATTTCTCACCTGTCCATTTCTCACCTGTCCATTTCTCACCTGTCCATTTCTCACCTGTCCATTTCTCACCTGTCCATTTCTCACCTGTCCATTTCTCACCTGTCCATTTCTCACCTGTCCATTTCTCACCTGTCCATTTCTCACCTGTCCAGTTTTTCCCATCTTGTCCTTTCTGTTCCCCTTTCTTATTCCCGTCTGATCTTCCAATCCTGTGTTTTCCTGTCTCTCATTTCCCTTCATCACTCATCCTTCCCTCTCACACACACGCCGTCCCTGTCACCTAACCCCTAGAAAATAGACAGATGGAAGAAAAACAGAAAAATAATACCGTCTATCCAGAAACACAATAAAAATAATGTACTACACTCAGGTTTTTTGGACTGTTATCCTTGGCCTTGTAAACCATCGCTTAACACGTCATAAATTGTATCTTTAAACCGCTATTAAACTTCTTAATAAACGAGTAATTAGTTTCAGCCCTTAGGTAAGCCTTGTGAGTAATTACAGGATCCTCCCAGGTACGTGAATTAGTCTCTTAAGATATATGAGAAGACTACAACTCACCTCACAATTTTTTCACTCATTTTACCTCACAGGATTATCTCGGTCAGTAAATAGTTTACGGTGTTAACATAGTCAAGAATTTTACACATTGGGGTATTAAGGTCTTTAAGGTATTAGCATGTTAATAAGAAGTCGGTAACTTAATATATTAGAGTCTACTCTTTGGTCGGGCAAGTGAAGCTTGCGACGAGCAATATTGCTGAAGGTTTTTTTTTAAATTGATAACTTTGGTAATAAGTTTTTCTTAAATTAATAACTTTGGTAATAAGTTTTTACTTAAATTAATTACTTTGGCAATGAGTTTTTACTTAAATTAATAACTTTGGTAATAAGTTTTTTTTAAATTAATTACTTTGGCAATACATTTTAACTTAAATTAATTACTTTGGCACTAATTTTTTCTTAAATTAATTACTTTGACAATAAGTTTTTCTTAAATTAATAACTCTGGCAGAAGGTTTTACTTAAATTAATAACTTTGGTAAAAATTATTCATTTCTTAATAATTAATTTTTAATTATTTTATTTAATGATTATGGCAGAAGGTTTTTCAAAATAACGTTGACTTTCGGTTTTTATTATATTAATAATTTTGGCTGTCTCCCTTATAATCAAAAACCGATATATTTGCTGTGTATAGCCATGCACTTATTGTATCAGTAATGTATTATTTATCATTTTGAGAAGACTGGCAATACTTCAATAAATAATTTCAATCTATTGTCATAGATTGACAATAGAGCCTGGTTGATCAGTCCGGCAACCAGGAGGCCTGGTCGACGACCGGGCCGCGGGGACGCTAAGCCCCGGAAGCACCTCAAGGTAACCTCAAGGTATAGATACATATCATTCTTGTGATATAATGCCATATGTTAACTATTCACAATATTTAGTGCCTGATAACTGCAAGTGACGCTTATCAACAATCACGATATCGAATTATTAGGAGATAACAAATACTTGGAAGCAACAGAAGCGTTGCTCAACCTCTAGCGAGGCTGGAGCCTTTGGAATGCCATATTTCATCCAAGCAAAGTCTCCCCAGAGTAAAATTTCTCCCCAATGTCGCCTACGACGCATAATAATGCCCTTCTCGTCTACGATCTTGGCTGGGGGGGAGACAGCGGCTTGGTTTGAGACGTCTCAGCTTGCTAAGAGTGGGATGGTTCCTGCGTGAGTATTATCTTTAGATATTCCTGTCTTCACTCTTTGATATCGTGTGATTTAGACAATCACGTCTGTATTACTCACTTATTTCTGTGGCTAGAACGTTCATCTACTCATATATTCCTTGACT